TTTTTTTGCTTTTAACGACTTTTGATGGTCACTCCAGTTAAATAAATGACTATTATTTCATAGTGGCATGTGATCCTGTTTTGAGCAAGTGTTTTAAACCTTTAAACATCTTTGACAGGCTTCCCCAGAATCAGACTCTAAATTAAGTCTTTTTTGACTTCAAACTAACTTTGGGATATTCCATTTGGCCTCAGAACTTCTCAAAAGTTTATAAAAGAGAAATATTAAAGGCTTACTTGAGATGTCAAATTCTATGGAAAACATTGTCAAATGGTAAGTGATGTTAGATCTATTTTCAGTTACTTTTATGGGTATGTTACTGACACAAATGTTGCAAAATTGTACAAAACTCTTAAAAATCTGATAACTCCCTATCAGTCATAATTCTTATTACTATGTTATACCACAAAAATAACTACATTTCATTGTTAATTTCTGGTTATGGTAAACTTTCACCAGATTTTACATTAACCATGTAAAATGTTATTCTAAGATTGTGTCATCCTCAGTTATTGGTTTGATTCTTCTCTAAAGGTATCTGCAATCAGATTCATAAAAGAGACTCTAACAAATACTCTTAAATACAAATTTCTAATAACTTCAGTATTAATGGACTAAATACAAATTTTCCAAAACTCTAATACAAAAATTAATAAATCTGAAAAACTGTTAAGATAAAACCAACAAATTAGTTTCATGAGATTAAAAAATATAAGTAATTTTTATGACTTTTATTTAAAGCTTTATTTGGAGTTCAAATATTTGGCTGGCTAAAATAAATAAATTTTCTAAAGCTTCATCCTTTTTTGTTTCCTGTTGGGACTCAGGAAAAAAAAAAAAGAACAGAACACTGTTGGTTCTTTACTTAAATGTTTTGTTTTCCAAATTTAAAAAACTGATTGGGCCAAAGATCACTCATCTGATTTGGGAGATCCAGCGTAGCCGGTACAAGAAAAATACATCCTTTTCTCACAGGTTAATTTGCATATAACCACTGGGTTCAGCTAGAAGCCTTGAAACTTATATTCCTCCCTGCTCAGCCACCTTGCTGCCCTGTTGAGTGAGGGCTACAGTGCCCATGCAGGGAAGAAATAGTTCAAGTCTTCTCAGAAATGTAGGAGTTCTGAGTAAGGTGAGATGAGAAGATAGACTCACAGAATTTGAATAGGTTGTGGGGAAGAGGGTTGGGTATTCTAAACAAAGGACTGGAATAGGCAAAGGGGCAGAGACAGAAATAAGGATGTCTAGTTCCCCACAGGAACTCAGGGCTTCATGCAGTACCTATCAATAGTAGGTAGTCAGTAAATATTTTGATCAATAGTAGTAGTCAATAAATATTTTGATCAATAGTAGGTAGTCGGTAAATAATTTGTTAGATGGCTGAAAAATATTCAGACCAGCTGCATACCTAGAACATCTCAAACTTGGTACATAAAACAAGTGGCACTGTCTTGGGGAATACCCAAAGCATCAAAACAAAAATGGCAACAATTTTACCAGATTTACTAGTAAGTAAACTAAAACTTAAAAAAATTTTAAACAGAGTCGTGAGCGAGCAAGCAGGGGAGTGTGCGACTGCCAGAGCCGAGCGGAGCGATGCCTAAATCAAAGGAACTTGTTTCTTCAAGCTCTTCTAGCAGTGATTCTGACAGTCAGGTTGACAAAAAGTTAAAGAGGAAAAAGCAAGTTGCTCCAGAAAAACCTGTAAAGAAGCAAAAGACGGGTGAAACTTCGAGAGCTCTGTCATCTTCTAAACAGAGCAGCAGCAGCAGAGATGATAACATGTTTCAGGTTGGGAAAATGAGGTATGTTAGCATTCGAGATTTTAAAGGGAAAGTGCTAATTGATATTAGAGAATATTGGATGGATCCAGAAGGTGAAATGAAACCAAGAAGAAAAGGTACTTCTTTAAATCCAGAACAATGGAGCCAGCTGAAGGAACAGATTTCTGACATTGATGATGCAGTAAGAAAACTGTAAAATCCGAGCCATATAAAACCTGTACTGTTCTAGTTGTTTTAATCTGTCTTTTTACATTGGCTTTTGTTTTCTAAACGTTGTTCTCCAAGCTATTGTATGTTTGGATT